TAGAGTACATTAAAAAAAGCAAGGATCCGGTCGCAGTACTTAAGGATGATAATGGCAGGGAAGTCGTTGAGAATAACGAGAAAGCCGAGTACTGTAGCCGGTTCTTTGCTAGGTATTCACTAGGGAAATCGAGCTTCATTTTGATAATGCCAACATTGCTGTTTTAAACGCAGGTCCGGCAATTCAATCTCTATAATTCCCAAGATCTGTAGTTAAGAGGGAGCTGCAAGGCTTCAAAGAAGCAAAGTCATCTGGTCCAGACAGTAAAAGGGCTAACATCTTTAAAAGATTTAGGTCTTAGCTATTCTAATACTCTTCACTTATCCCCGCATGTTAAAAAATCGCACCAAAAGCCAATCGACTATGTGGCTTCATAAGTAAAAATTTCACATCAATTACACTTAAGACTTGACTTTAAAAAATGTATGTTTTACCTAGTCTAGAATACTGGTCATTATTTTTCGGTACCATGTCATCAGATTACAGACAAAAACTAGAAAAAAACCAGAGAAGTTTCACCTGATTTCTGTGTAAACACGATGACGCCCGAGACTCCTATACAATAATGTACAATACATATGGTCTTAAAGCCCTCTGGCAAAGGCGACTCTAAAATGGTTTAACGCTCCTATTTAAAGTGACACACAATCAAAAAATTCTTAGCAATAATATTTTAACAAACAAAAACGGTTCTCGATACACTACAAACAACCAGCATACGATTCCTAACACTAAAGCTAGGACGGTTCAGCGATCAAATTTCTACACCATAATATATGCGATCATATGGAATTCCACAGTTAAGCCGAATTTAGAAGGACGACCAAACAGTTCTTCTCAAATGACATAACGCATATATTTCTGAATAAAATATGACACTTTGCAAACCAGTTCTTCGACATCCAATTCGGGCCAAAAGGGATTTAATGGTTCAAGAATGTTTCCACACATTTCGGGGTTAGCTGTCTTTCCAGACGCTTATCTTCAAAGCTCATCAAATCAGAGTCTAGGCGAAATTGTGCCTTGCCTCCTTTTCCAGTCCTAAAAAATAAAAAAACAAAACTAAGAACAATTTAACTATCCCAATATTCTTCGACTAACAAGTCAATGTTAATAAAAATATCATACAGGAAAATAATTTTCTCTGCATCTATGCTAAAATATATATTAAATCCTCTTATAACGTATCAGTAGTATAAACGTTAATCATGTTTTAGCATAAATGTTTAAATTCACCCAGATGGGATATTCGACGAACGAAAGGCCAAGTGTCTTCTGCCGTCGAACTTGAATGACGATGGTGCTTCGCAATCAGCTTCCAGCTGCCTCGACCCATTTCTGACATCTGCAAAGTCCCATCTGTTTATCAAAAAACCTGCTGATGGCCGGATATTTTTAATTTCTGTATCAAGCAGACCCATACATACGGAAGATGCGATGTCCTCAGGCGATTATTTCGCCTTCAAACTGACCGCGGCTAACTCCACCTCAGTTAACAATCTGTTTAACAAGCTGGACGAATTAAGAACATGGTTGATGAGGTGAAACCAGACATCATGGCTTTAACTGAAACCT